CACACAGTGTCACACACGCGCCACACACACAGTATCACACACACACACAGTGTCACACACACACAGTGTCACACACACGCCACACACACACACAGTGTCACACACACGCCACACACACACAGTATCACACACACACAGTGTCACACACACACACACAGTGTCACACACACGCCACACACACACACAGTGTCACACACACGCCACACACACACAGTATCACACACACACAGTGTCACACACACACACACACAGTGTCACGCACACGCCACACACACACACACAGTGTCACACACACAGTGTCACACACACAGTGTTACACACACACAGTATCACACACACACAGTGTCACACACACAGTGTCACACACAGTGTTACACACACACAGTATCACACACACACAGTGTCACACACACAGTGTTACACACACACAGTATCACACACACACAGTGTCACACACACACAGTGTTACACACACACACAGTGTCACGCACACGCCACACACACAGTGTCACACACACGCCACACACACACACAGTGTCACACACACAGTGTCACACACACACAGTGTCACACACACAGTATCACACACACACAGTATCACACACACACAGTGTCACACACACACAGTGTTACACACACACAGTGTTACACACACACAGTATCACACACACACAGTGTCACACACACACAGTATCACACACACACAGTGTCACACACACACAGTGTTACACACACACGCCACACACACACACATTATCACACACACAGTATCACACACACACAGTGTAACGCACACGCCACACACACGCTTCCTCGTCTACCAAGCGACAATTCTCATGCTCTCAATAATTTATTCCAGCGGAATTAAACGGACGTAAGACGAGCGAAATAAATCGCCTTCATAACAAAACAACCCATTAAAAACCTCCATCAGATCTCTTTTGAAAGACAAACGGCATGCGCTAATCTACGTAATTGGATTCATTGTAAATACTGAATAATTGCATCCATCTTGGCATTCAAAGATCCTACCCCCAACACACACACGCACACCTCCGTAGTAAAACGTTCATGCAAACTCTATCCCAATCTCTATGAGTGACCGAGTATATGCGAGTTCAAGCGCACGTGTGAGTGTGTGTCTACGAGTGGGTCGGCCTCTGTGGAGGAGGAGGCTCGTGAAGGACGCTGCTACTGGCCAGTTGGAGGCAGTCGTCCTCCAGCAACAACGGAGGGCGGAGGAGCGACGCTCACAACAACGAGCGGAGCGCCGGGTGGTTAAAGCACAGCGGGTTGGCACAGTAGGGGGCACAGGTGGTGCACCAGCCAGTCATCTCAGTCATCTCAGTCAGTCGACCCGTGGCACCTGCTGGGTCTGCCCCGTGACCTCCCTGCCGGCGGGCGTTCGACACTTCACGTGGCTTCAACGTGCACATAGCCTGGCACAAGCGTCGTGGTGACGTCACCGCCACTTAGTGACGAATGGCGGTTGTTGTTGTTGTTGTTGAGTGGGTCAACTAGGGCGTGGTGCGGTGTGTAGTCATCACCGTAGCTGGAGAGACAAAGGCGGCCCGGCGTGGTGCTGGCCACCCACGCAGGTGGTGCTGGGATCGTGGTTCGCATCATGAACAGAGTGCGTGGCAGGACCCTCCCTAAGACGTAGGGTCTCATGGTGGGTGGGAGATGTTAACTACCTCTCCTGGTATGCAGGAGGTCGTGGGTTCAATCCCGACGCTGACGATGCCTGCTGCTGTATATTTGGAGTTTGTGGTGTCTCTCTCTCATCATTATCACGGTGGCTAGGAGATGTTAACTACCTCGCTTGGTACACAGGAGGTCGTGATGTGTGCGTCTCTCTCATCATCATCACGGTGTCTAGGAGATGTTAACTACCTCGCTTGGTACACAGGAGGTCGTGGTGTGTGCGTCTCTCTCATCATCATCACGGTGGCTAGGGGATGTTAACTACCTCGCTTGGTACACAGGAGGTCGTGGTGTGTGCGTCTCTCTCATCATCATCACGGTGGCTAGGAGATGTTAACTACCTCGCCTGGTACACAGGAGGTCGTGGGTTCCATCCAGACCCTGATGCCTGCTGCTGTATATTTGGAGTTTGCGTGTCTCTCTGTCTCTGTCTGCATTGTTCTCCGGGTTCATCTGTTCCCCCACCCCACCACCACCACCACCTCCAACATTTAAAATAAACGCCACGCGTTGAGAGAGGAGTTGGCTGCTGCTATACATGTCCACGTGGTGATGGTGATAATTATGATGGAGCCCACATCGCGAAGAGCTATTCATTTGCCCATGCCAGCTTCAATTCCTGAAAAAGTGCCGTGTAGTAGCTCGGTGCTTGGAATGAAAATAAACAAATAGTTTATTTTTATTTAACACCCGAGCACTACCCACAACGTGCGCGCACACACACACACATACATAAACAAATCGTCACTCTTAGTCCCATTAATATTTCGCACGACGAGCGATTAGCAATAATTACTTTAGGAAATAAAAAAAACCCACACACACAGACACACACCGCGTTCAATTAACACATCAGCGTCCACATTAATGACCGCATGTTGGGGCAATTAAAAGCGAATCAATTGGATTACAATTTGTGGGGGGGGGGAGAGGGGGGGAAGCTTATGGGGTGGAGGAGGGAGTGGGGGGCTAAGTGGGGGGGGGGGAGCGTGCCAAGGGGGTTCACGCTAACACGGGGTCGGTTGCATTGGAGCTTGGAGACGTTTGGCTACGTACGGTACGGAAGAAGTTCGGACAAACACACACACACACACCGCCGTTTAGCACGGTTGGCTATGTACGGTGTGAAAGAAGTTCAACACACACACGCGCATACCTCCGTTGAGCGCGGTTGGATACGTACGGTACGGACGAGGTTCAGTATACGGGGACTCCACTTACGGACAAGTTAGATCCGCGGGGTTTGTTTGTAAATCGATTTGTTCGTAAGTACAACTTCACTCCTATCGATTCCAATCACGTTGTACGGCCATGTAAACTAAACACGGGGAATGGCTTTAAAAGTTGCATGGTCTCCTGCAGATGTAGATGCCACTGGTTCTTCACGTTCTGCAGATGTAGATACCACTGGTTCTTCATGTTCTGTAGATGTAGATGCCACTGGTTCTTCACTTTCTGCAGATGTAGATGCCACTGGTTCTTCACGTTCTGCAGATGTTTATGCCACTGGTTCTTCATGTTCTGTAGATCTAGATACCACTGGTTCTTCATGTTCTGTAGATGTAGATGCCACTGGTTCTTCACGTACTGCAGATGTAGATGCCACTGGTTCTTCACGTTCTACAGATGTATATGCCACTGGTTCTTCACGTTCTGCAGATCTAGATACCACTGGTTCTTCATGTTCTGTAGATGTAAATGCCACTGGTTCTTCACTTTCTGCAGATCTAGATGCCACTGGTTCTTCACGTTCTGCAGATGTAGATGCCACTGGTTTTTCATGTTCTGCAGATGTAGATGCCACTGGTTCTTCGCGTTCTGCAGATGTAGATGCCACTGGTTCTTCACGTTCCGCAGATGTAGATTGCACTGGTTCTTCACGTTCTACAGATGTAGATGCCACTGGTTCTTAATGTCCTGCAGATGTAGATGCCACTGGTTCTTCATGTTCTGGAAATGTAGATGCCACTGGTTCTTCATGTTCTACAGATGTAGATGCCACTGATTCTTCACGTTCCGCAGATGTAGATGCCACTGGTTCGTTACGTTCTACAGATGTAGATGCCACTGGTTCTTCACGTTCTGCAGATGTAGATGCCACTGGTTCTTCACGTTCTGCAGATGTAGATGCCACTGGTTCTTCACGTTCCGCAGATGTAGATGCCACTGGTTCTTCACGTTCTACAGATGTAGATGCCACTGGTTCTTCACGTTCTGCAGATGTAGATGCCACTGGTTCTTCACGTTCTGCAGATGTAGATACCACTGGTTCTTCACGTTCTACAGATGTAGATGCCACTGGTTCTTCACGATCCGCAGATGTACATGCCACTGGTTCTTCATGTTCTGGAAATGTAGATGCCACTGGTTCTTAATGTTCTGCAGATATAGATGCCACTGATTCTTCACGTTCCGCAGATGTAGATGCCACTGATTCTTTACGTTCTGCAGATGTAGATGCCACTTGTTCTTCACGTTCCGCAGATGTAGATGCCACTGATTCTTCACGTGGCATCTACGTAACATGCTGGCGGGTTTGTTTGCATCTCTGAAAGTTTGTAAGTCGAATATTCTTAAGTGGAGGAATCCCTTGTGCGTGGATGTGTTTCATCTTATGTTTCATCTCTCTGGGTGTGAATACATGCGCGTGACTACGTACAAAGTCGCAAGTACGCATGTGTGTGTGTGTGTCTGTCTGTGCGTGCGTGCGTGCGTGCGTTCGTACGCGGAATGTTTTCATTTTTCATTTCATTGTCCCTAAGCCGACGGGCGGCTGTCAAGGGCAAAACAAACAAGAATGGATGCACAGAAGAATGAATTAATAAACAGAACGACTTTTGCATCTCTTGCAAATTATTCATTGTCACTCGGGTCGCTGTCCTTGCCCGGTTTCTTTCTTGAGCATCCCTTTTGATCAACGTGGCCCAGTTTTTACTTTGATTATTCTCCCAGGGCGAGTCTCCCAACATCATCGCAACTCCAGGGCGAGTCTCCCAACAGCATCGCAACTCCACCCACGACTCTCATTCGTATCGCATCAACTCCACGTGAGTCACCGTGACCAGCCCCATCCACCCCAAGTTACACACAGAGACAGACTCATAGCTCGCTAATTAACCCTGCGATACAACGTGGTTCTGTGATATCCAGGGCGAGTCTCCCAACAGCATCGCAACTCCACCCACGACTCTCATTCGTATCGCATCAACTCCACGTGAGTCACCGTGACCACCCCAAGTTACACACAGAGACAGACTCATAGCTCGCTAATGAACCCTTCGATCAACGTGGTTCTGTGATATCCAGGGCGAGTCTCCCAAACAGTATTTCAACTCCACTCTCGACTCTCATTCGTATCGCATCAACTCCACGTGAGTCACTGTGACCAGCCCCATCCACCCCAAGTTACACACAGAGACAGAGTCATAGCTCGTTAATTAACCCTGCGATAAAACGTGGTTCTGTGATCTCCAGGGCGAGTCTCCCAACATCATCGCAACTCCACCCACGACTCTCATTCGTATCGCATCAACTCCACGTGAGTCACCGTGACCACCCCAAGTTACACACAGAGACAGACTCATAGCTCGTTAATTAACCCTTCGATCAACGTGGTTCTGTGATATCCAGGGCGAGTCTCCCAACAGCATCGCAACTCCACCCACGGACTCTCATTCGTATCGCATCAACTCCACGTGAGTCACCGTGACCACCCCAAGTTACACACAGAGACAGACTTACAGCTCGCTAATTAACCCTGCGATAAAACGTGGTTCTGTGATATCCAGGGCGAGTCTCCCAACAGCATCGCAACTCCACCCACGACTCTCATTCGTATCGCATCAACTCCACGTGAGTCACCGTGACCAGCCCCATCCACCCCAAGTTACACACAGAGACAGAGTCATAGCTCGTTAATTAACTCTGCGATAAAACGTGGTTCTGTGATCTCCAGGGCGAGTCTCCCAACATCATCGCAACTCCACGCACGACTCTCATTCGTATCGCATCAACTCCACGTGAGTCACCGTGACCACCCCAAGTTACACACAGAGACAGACTCACAGCTCGCTAATTAACCCTTCGATCAACGTGGTTCTGTGATCTCCAGGGCGAGTCTCCCAACAGCATCGCAACTCCACCCACGACTCTCATTCGTATCGGATCAACTCCACGTGAGTCACCGTGACCACCCCAAGTTACACACAGAGACAGACTTACAGCTCGCTAATTAACCCTTCGATCAACGTGGTTCTGTGATATCCAGGGCGAGTCTCCCAACAGCATCGCAACTCCACCCACGACTCTCATTCGTATCGCATCAACTCCACGTGAGTCACCGTGACCACCCCAAGTTACACACAGAGACAGACTTACAGCTCGTTAATTAACCCTTCAATCAACGTGGTTCTGTGATCTCCAGGGCGAGTCTCCCAACATCATCGCAACTCCACCCACGACTCTCATTCGTATCGCATCAACTCCACCTGAGTCACCGTGACCACCCCAAGTTACACACAGAGACAGACTTACAGCTCGCTAATTAACCCTTCGATCAACGTGGTTCTGTGATATCCAGGGCGAGTCTCCCAACAGCATCGCAACTCCACGCACGACTCTCATTCGTATCGCATCAACTCCACGTGAGTCACCGTGACCAGCCCCATCCACCCCAAGTTACACACAGAGACAGAGTCATAGCTCGTTAATTAACCCTGCGATAAAACGTGTGTCTGTGATCTCCAGGGCGAGTCTCCCAACATCATCGCAACTCCACCCACGACTCTCATTCGTATCGCATCAACTCCACGTGAGTCACCGTGACCACCCCAAGTTACACACAGAGACAGACTCATAGCTCGTTAATTAACCCTGCGATAAAACGTGGTTCTGTGATCTCCAGGGCGAGTCTCCCAACATCATCGCAACTCCACCCACGACTCTCATTCGTATCGCATCAACTCCACGTGAGTCACCGTGACCAGCTCCATCCACCCCAAGTTACACACAGAGACAGAGTCATAGCTCGTTAATTAACCCTGCGATAAAACGTGGTTCTGTGATCTCCAGGGCGAGTCTCCCAACATCATCGCAACTCCACCCACGACTCTCATTCGTATCGCATCAACTCCACGTGAGTCACCGTGACCACCCCAAGTTACACACAGAGACAGACTTACAGCTCGCTAATTAACCCTTCGATCAACGTGGTTCTGTGATATCCAGGGCGAGTCTCCCAACATCATCGCAACTCCACCCACGACTCTCATTCGTATCGCATCAACTCCACGTGAGTCACCGTGACCACCCCAAGTTACACACAGAGACAGACTTACAGCTCGCTAATTAACCCTGCGATAAAACGTGGTTCTGTGATCTCCAGGGCGAGTCTCCCAACATCATCGCAACTCCACCCACGACTGTCATTCGTATCGCATCAACTCCACGTGAGTCACCGTGACCAGCCCCATCCACCCCAAGTTACACACAGAGACAGAGTCATAGCTCGTTAATTAACCCTTCGATCAACGTGGTTCTGTGATCTCCAGGGCGAGTCTCCCAAAAGCATCGCAACTCCACCCACGACTCTCATTCGTATCGCATCAACTCCACGTGAGTCACCGTGACCAGCCCCATCCACCCCAAGTTACACACAGAGACAGACTCATAGCTCGTTAATTAACCCTGCGATACAACGTGGTTCTGTGATCTCCAGGGCGAGTCTCCCAACATCATCGCAACTCCACCCACGAATCTCATTCGTATCGCATCAACTCCACGTGAGTCACCGTGACCAGCTCCTTCCACCTTACACGCGATGGAACACAAACGGAGCTTCTTGATGCGTAAGCCCAGATTTGAGGATTGCCTTCGTCTCCCGCTTGTGAGTTACAGATCTGACCACGCAAACAAACAGGATTACATTCCACTGGTCTACATGTTTTTTTTTATAGACATGGTCTGCTTCAGAGGTGACATGTGCTCTTTGTTATGGATTTTGACGCGCTGAATTCAAATATGACAATTAAAACAACTGACTGGCTACTGTTCCAAAGATATTAAAGTTTTTTTTTTTTTAATTGGACGTCTATGTATGTCGTGTAGATAGTAGAGCTTTACTCATAAATCCTAAACCTATGTCTTTTCATGTGTTTAAGGGTTGCTTCACATGATCACATGTCACCAGTCCTGTTCATGTAACGGTTAAAAAAATCAGCAAAAAGGGTTACGTGAATAAAATGTATGATGAATCAAAAGGCAAACAACTATTATAAATAAGCACATTATCTGATAATTAGCAAACGTGCCACTGCAACGTTTGATTTTAGCGATACCGGGAGAGAGAGAGAGAGAAACTGCAGAACACTTCAGCAATATACAACGCACATTGCAATTCCTTAGAGAGGAGTCAAATGCTAATTAACTGATTAATAATCTATTATATAATTACAATACCCCATAACCCCACCTCCGCCGCTGATCTCGAAACGTGACGGGGTTCAACAACGAAGACGTCATCCTGCAACTACTTAAAACCGGAAGCAGGTGGGAGGGCTTCACGATTCTGGCTAATCGCCCCTGTAGTTGCCGGTTGTAATTACCAGCGAAACGTCGTACAACTCGAATTCTTCATGTTGTGGATTCACTCTTCACGCACGCGGACGCGCGCCGACGGGCTGGAGGAGTAAACTGATTGACGTTTTGTCAACATGAAACATTTATTATTGATTGGCCGTGTCGGGTGGTGGGAGGGTTGCGACACATTTATGAATAATAACGCGATCTAACCCAAAGACCTTAATTATGAACACTTAAACTATTTCAGATTTTTTTATTCGAGCAAGTAAAGGGCCACCAGCAACCTGAGTTCGATTCCCGCTCACGGATGACAGAAACACCAGTATCGACTTTCTTGAATCAGGTCCTGGGACTCGTCTAGGTCGACTCGGCCTCAAATGAGTACATGGTGTGCCGTGTGGTGAACATCGCCACTGGGGGAGACAAAGGCGGCCGGGCGTGGTGCCGGCCACCCACCCCCTCGTGTGCCGTGCCGGCCTTCATAGGCGCTGCTACTCGCTAACAGCACTCGCCCCGACAGTCTGTTAAGGCTACACGGGGGATCTTTGTCTGTTTTATGTTTGCAGGGTGGGCGATGTGTGTGTGGGGTGGGGGTCATCGAAGCAGCGTCGTGGTTCCACCACAGCGGCCGGTTCATATCGGATCGCGGCCTCACCGGGGCGACTCGGGGATTTGCGGGCAATGCGGAATTTGTACGGAGAGAGAGAATTTGACAGATTCCCCCTGGGGGAGCCTTGCCGAAATCCGCACAACACCACCACCACCACCACCCACCCACCAAACCCACTCCCCAACACACCAACTCATCCACCAACTAATCCTACACACTCCACCCACCATCCCCACCCACCCCACACACCCACCCACACACCCAACCCACCCCACCCACCAACACACACCCCACCCACTCGCGCCTACCTACGTGAATTCGCGGAAATAACCAAAGAGTATCTTTTAGAGTGTTTGGCTGCCGAAAATGTTTGGCTGCTTAAAAAACGTCCACTTGATGAGCCACTTTCTTTGAGCAGCTATCATTTGTGATTGCCAGGTCGCATCTGAAAATGAGCTATACACAGCACCTCAGTGGGGGCCTTACCTGGTCAAAACAAAAACCCGAAAACATTTTAATTGGTCAGTTTATTAGTTTAGTTTATGGCTTAGTCAATAGTATAGTGGGCGCACCCACCACGTCTGGAGTAGGGCCTCAAATTTAAGCCTGCCGAGTGGAGAATCTCTCTCCAGCTCTCTTTCCCTACGAGCGCAAGCACTTTGTACCAATTCCACGAATTCCAGCTCTCATTGCAATTTCTACCAACTCCACCAATCCCACCAATTCCATCAGTGCCACCAGGTCCATCAATTCCACGATTTCCACCAATTCCACAATTTACACCAATTTCACCTTTTCCACCAATTCCACCAATTCCAACAGTGCCACCATGTCCACCAATTCCACAATTTCCACAAATTTCACCTTTTCCACCAGTGCCACCAATTCCATCAATTGCCACCATTTCCTCCAATCCCAGCCAATCCCAGCCAATCCCAGCCAATCCCACCAATCCCACCAATCCCACCAATCCCAGCCAATCCCACCGACAGAGGCCAGGGGCAAGGCAATTATAGGGGTGCTTCACCTTAACAATGTCATTCATTTCAATTCGAAACAAATAATACAATAGAAAAATATAACCGGCTGAACATTAAAGAAAACACGGCGGTGAACTCATCCCTCGCCACGACCGCAAATCTGACACAATTCGTGCTCGGGTTATGGATTTGAGTTTTTTTTTTATATATATATTTGTGAACGGTATATTTTTTTGTTGTTGTCTGAGACCGTGCAATATGTCAGGCGGCAGAGGTCACGGGATCACGCGTGGACAATGTGAGCATGATTGTCCACGCGACTTGCCGGCAGGCCGATGTATTTTTCTATATATATATAAAAATATTAAAGGCGTGCAAAGTGATTTTTCGTCAAGGAGACGCAGCCGCAGTCATCACGGGAGCTCCGATCGTCATCCTCGCAGCGAGCGCAGCAGCAGCAGTGGCGTTTGGCTCAGCACATCGAACGAGGACGGTGATAGTCGACGCATCATCATCATCATCGCGCTGTCAGACGCTGTATACACTTCACTATACACTGCACTGTACACTGCACTGTACACTGCACTGTACACTACACTTTCCACTACACTATACACTACACTATACACTGCACTGTACACTGCACTGTACACTGCACTGTACGCTACACTACTATACACTACACACTACACTATACACTACACTATACACTTCACTATACACTACACTATACACTTCACTATACACTGCACTGTACACTTCACTGTAAACTGCCCTGTACACTACACTACTATACACTACACTATACACTACACTATACACTACACTACTATACACTACACTATACACTATACTACTATACACTACACTACTATACATTTCACTATACACTTCACTATACACTACACTATACACTACACTATTATACACTACACTATATACCACACTATACACTACACTATACACTACACTACTATACACTACACTACACGATACACTACACTATACACTACACTACTATACACTACACTATACACTATACTATACACTACACTATACACTACACTACTATACACTACACTATACACTTTACTATACATTGCACTGTACACTACACTACTATACACTACACTATACACTACACTGTAAACTACAATACACATTACACTATACACTGCACTATACACTACACTAACACTACACTTTACACTACACTATGCGCTAATATACACTACACTAAACTCAACACTATACACTACACTTTACACTACACTTTACATTACACTATACACTCCACTATACACTACAATACACTCTCGACTGTACTATACTCCACTATACGCTAATATACACTACACTATAATACACTATACACTAAACTACGATACACTACACTAAAATACACACTCCACTATACTACACTATACACCACAGAATACACTTTTTGTACACTACACTATACACTACACTTTGGGCTTACCCATCGAGCAAAGACGGTGGTGATCGCCGCGTCATCATGCGGCGCTTTCAGGTGCGGCTGCTTCTGTGGCCGTCTGGAACGCTCTTCCCTTCCGATATTAAGAAGCCCTCGGGAGCTGTGATCGACTTTTGAATTATCCTCATCTCGAATGACAAGCGAATTTATGTAGCACGGCTTTTGGTGTTTTTTAGTTTGCAGTCCTTCCCCAGCGGCTCCGATAAGCGATATTGGCTGTGTACGGTGCAAAATAAAGTTCCACGTACATACATAGAGTAAGCAGTGCACCATAGACTCAAAACTGCCCATAGACTCAGCACTGCCCATGAACTCAACACTGCACCATAGACTCAACACTGCACCATAGACTCACCACTGCCCATAGACTCTACACTGCCCATAGACTCAACACTGCACCGTAGACTCAACACTGCCCATTGACTCAACACTGCACCGTAGACTCAACACTGCCCATAGACTCAACACTGCCCATAGACTCAACACTACACCATAGACTCAACACTGCCCATAGACTCAATACTACCCACAGACTCAACACTGCACCATGGACTCAACACTGCCCAAAGACTCAACACTGCACCATAGACTCAACACTGCACCATAGACTCAACACTGCCCATAGACTCAACACTGCACCATGGACTCAACACTTCCCATGGACTCAACACTGCACCATAGACTAAACACTACCCATAGACTCAACACTGCACCATAGACTCAGCACTACCCATAGGCTCAACAATACCCATAGACCCAACACTGCACCATGGACTCAACACTACCCATGGATTCAACACTTCACCATAGACTCAACATTACCCATAGACTCATCACTGCACCATATACTTAACACTACCCATAGACTTAACAATGCACCATGGACTCAACACTGCCCATGGACTCAACACTGCACCATAGACTCAACACTGCACCACAGACTCAACACTGCACCACAGACTCACCACTACCCATAGACTCAACACTGCAACATAGACTGAACACTGCACCATAAACTCAACACTGCACCATAGACTCAACACTACCCATAGACTCAACACTGCACCATAAACTCAACACTGCACCAAAGACTCAACACTGCACCATAGACTCAACACTGCACATAGACTCAACACTGCACATAGACTCAACAGTGCACCATAGACTCAAGTCTGCACCATAGACTCAACACTTCCCATAAACTAAACACTGCCCATAGACTCAACACTGCCCATAGACACAACACTGCACCATAGACTCAACACCGCACCATAGACTCAACACTACCCATAGACTCAACACTACCCATAGACTCAACATTATCCATAGACTCAACACTACCCATAGACTCAACACTACCCATAGACTCAACACTACCCATGAACTCAACATTGCACCATAGACTTAACAATCTCCATAGACTCAACACTGCACCATAGACTGAACACTGCCCCATACACTCAAAACTGCACCATAGACTCAACACTGCACCATAGACTCAGCACTGCCCCATAAACTCAAAACTGCACCATCGACTCAACACTGCACCATAGACTCAACACTGCACCATACACTCAACACTACCCATAGGCTCAACGCTGCACTATAGACTTAACACTGCCCATAGACTCAACACTGCCCATAGACTAAACACTGCACCATAGACTCAACATTATCCATAGACTCAACACTATCCATAGACTCAACGCTACCCATAGACAACACTACCCATAGACTCAACACTATCCATATACTCAACACTACCCATGAACTCAACACTATCCATAGACTCAACACTGCCCATAGACTAAACACTGCACCATAGACTCAACACTATCCATAGACTCAACACTATCCATAGACACAACACTTCCCATGAACTCAACACTGCACCATAGACTCAACACTGCCCATGGCCTCAACACTGCACCATAGACTCAACACCGCACCATAGACTCAAAACTGCCCATAGACTCAACACTACCCATAGACTCAACACTGCACCATAGACTCAACACTGCACCATAGACTCAACACTGCACCATAGACTCAACACTGCTCATAGACTCAACACTGCACCATAGACTCAACACTGCACCATAGACTCAACACTGCACCATAGACTCAACACTACCCATAGACTCAGCACTGCCCCATGAACTCAACACTACCCATGAACTCAACACTACCCATAGACTCAACACTGCCCATAGACTCAACACTACCCATAGACTCAACACTGCACCATAGGCTCAACACTGCACCATAGACTCAACACTGCACCATAGACTCAGCACTGCACCATAGACTCAACACTGCACCATAG